AGTAACAAAGGTTAAGAACCACTGGTTTACACGGAACACATTGGTGACCAGATGGCATTCTTTAAAGGGGCCACATATTTTAATTCAAAATTGTTTGCCTCCTTCCAGGTCTGCTGAAATGACATTACAAGTTTGCCCTGTTTCAACTCAGCCCTAATATGCATGTGAAAGTTCTGTAAAATGTTATTCTAGTTCCTGTAATCTATGATTGACCATGACCTTTAATCATTATCATGTTCTCCTTATGTATCAATTTCTTTCCATTTAATTTCTTCCTCCCTGCTTCTCTATTTGACTGTATAACCATGACTGCTACATTCAGGACGCGATAACCCGATGGATTTGTTATGCTAATGTATTCCACATATGGATGCTTTAAAATATATTGTAGGAGCTTAAGCTGGTCTGGGGTACAACTGCTGATTAGTAACCAGTTCCAACACACATTACACCATTCCTGAGTAGGAACAGGGAAAGTGGGAAACTATCAGCAAATTCCCTATGAATGCATTTTTTAATTCAATGATGGAAGAATTACAGCAATCTAGATGTTGGACTCAAACTAATTAACTAACTACACGTAACTACTGGCCATTTTAGCTGAAATTGATGGGAGTTGTATGGGCCAGATAGTAGTGGATTTTAATAAGCGGGATTAAGGGGAGTGAAACACAGAGCACCTGTGATTTAATGATTCCCCATAAAAAGCAGATCACAACATGAAAATACAGTGCAATAATATACATGTCAACTGAAAGTTGAGATCCTAGGTAAGCAGGCCTGAGGTTGCAAATTTCAGTTCAAATGCCTCGATTTTTCCAAATGATTCAGCAGAGAAATGTTTAAGTCTCAAAGATAATTTGTGCATATCCAGCCACAGCAAATTTTAGGACCAGCCGATAAGTGTAGCATAGAAAAGACCTCCAGATAACAAGGGAGACATCTCAGTGCTTAGCTAGAGAGCAGATCATTTTAGAACATAATAAAATGTTATTTTTCCCCTCAGATGGTTTCTTCAATTGAAATAGCTGTAGGAGTCTTTGTTCATTTTAGCTCAAGATTGTTTCATGTTAGTTCATGAGTTTAAATTGTTTATTTGAAAGAAAATGACCAAAATTAACAGCCATAGACCTGCGTTTGTAAACCCAGCCAGCCAGAACTTAGGGGGAAAAACCCATAAAGGTGTGTGAAAATAACCAAGACACTATTTCAATGCATGTGGAGAGTGCAAATCCAAAATGCAAACATGGCAGATTCATTATATTTGATTAGGTTAGGAGATTTTAAAAAAACAGGCAATAAGCATATATTTGAACAATCGTGAATAATATATATGGAGTGAAAGGATACTCTTAGTTGGTAGGCCTGGAAAGGAGAGAAAGAAGGGCGATGCATTTCAGTGACAAAACATAACTGAAGAAGTTGCAAGACGAGATCCATGCTAGGACAGAAAAAGCCTGGACAGAAATCCTTCCTCAACTAAATACTTTCCACATGTCTTAGAGCCCAGCATCCCTAGCCAATAGCTGTACATTGGGATTTACAGTCCATCTGGACAAAACTGCCAGAAGGTAACTTCAAAAGGATAAACAGAGCACTTCTGAAAGAGCCAGGAATGAATGTGTCACAGAGGGTGATCAGTGACGACCCATATGCCAAGTGCTGTTTCTCTATAAACATTCATTACTATTAGTTCTGAAGCAAACAGCAGGATGAGTGTCCATGCAACTAAATGCTTGCATAAACAACACCAGGAACTAGGCATTAATCTCCCCATTTCTAACATTTAACATGAATTAATTTATTTTCAAACTTAGTGTTCTAAGCGCTGGAGGAGCAATATTTTTCTCTGTATTTAATCTACAACTGTTTTAGTGGCTGACCCTACTGATGAAGAGAGAGAGAGATCAAAACTTTTATTTATCTACATACTTTATCCATATTATGTAAATTTTATACACCACTATCATATTTGTCCTTCCTTGCCTTTCCCACTCATAAGCTAAACAGATTCAATCACTGTAACCTTTTATCCAGTCCCTTGATCATTTGGGTTGCCTTTTCCTGCCCATGGCTACAGTTCATTCCTGTAAGGCAGGGGTCAGGGAACTTTTTTACCTTTTACCCCCCAAAAATTTTATATACACCGACATTACCCCCTTTATTTGAAAGGAAGGAAATCATACATTATTTGAATTCAAAATTTATTGAATCTACACAGGCTGTGTACTGAACTATCAAGATATATCATCAGTGTCAATGGCTGCCAGGCTATGTACCGAACTAGCAGGATACACCAAATTTAATAAAGTTGTGCACTATTTTTGCTAGAACACATTGCACTCCAGCCATGGGGTGGTATAGGGAGTAGTAAGGTGTCCAACATGCCTAGCAAGTTGCATTAAATTTTTGCTAGCTCGCAGAGGATTTAATCATCATCAATGGCTGCCAGAGTGTTGCTAGCAATGATATGCTTGCTAGAGACAGCCAAGACAGAGTTTGGGCGTGGGGCTTTTCCTACCACTTTCTTTAATCATTCTGTATGTGGTGTGCAAAAAGGAACAAACCAGGCTAAAGGTCATGTCACCCACCCTGGTGCCATAGCCCAATATCAAAGGACCAGTGTGTTATTTTTTATCATCCTCAATGGAAATCTCAGCAGTAGCCAGAGGATTGGAAAAGATCAGTCTACATCCCAATCCCAAAGAAGGGCTGTGCCAAAGAATGCTCCAACTACCATACAATTGCACTCATTTCACATGCTAGCAAGGTTATGGTCAAAATCCTACAAGGTAGGCTGTGCTCATTACCCCCAGGATTTTCATTTTTACCCCATTTGGGGTAATTTACCCCTGTTCCCAGACCACTGCTGTAAGGAATGATGCTAGATTTTAAAAGCTATATAAAAATCACGACCCTCCTGGAGTTAGCATTTTCTTGAGAACTTTTTTGCACTCACAATTTATATATCATAACGCAACCATGTTGCAACATATCATTTGCCACTAATTTGGTGGTTTGGCCCTGAGTTCCTCTTCACTAGATCCCTCACATTATTACTAACACAATCACTACAAACTCCACACAACACTACCCCGTTGTGCATTCATGGCAATAACTTATGAACAGTTTCTGAAGCAAGATGTGGAAACAAATCTCACTCTTGATATGCCGATGGAGAAATTATAGGTCAGATGGCTGCCAAATTTGAGAACAAATTTGAGTGGTTTATGAAGTATCTGAAATATTAAATAGCTGTCCTGTGTGTAATGAACATCAGTGTATTTCCGTGAATGCACAAAGAATGAGCAATATTAATCTTACCATATGTCTTTACTGTGGGAATTCTATCTCAAAAATCTTACTTAAGGAATTTTCAGGAAATTACAACAGTAAAAGTAAATTCTCCAATAATGACACAGCTAGAAAGACTACCATATTAGGTATTCTAGTTTATTTTGGCAATGAGAAGAAATGGATGTGTATCCATGAACTATTCAGCATGCAAAAGGGGTACTTGGTCACGCTTTTCAGCAGCTTCTTAGAGAGCTTGGACAGTTACCTTTTTACTTTAAGAAGGTGGGATTGCCAAGGTGGATGGGGGATAATGGGAATTGTAGTTAAACAAAGAGTTATTAGATTGCAATTCCCAACTGCTGTACCTAACACAGCCAATAGGGATGAATGCTGGGTGTCACAATCTATCAACATCTAGAGGGCTCTACGTTGGCTTTTCCAGCGCAACAGAGTTGAATGTTGTTACCATTCAGACAGTTTCAGGTAACTTTTCAAGTAGTTAAAAAATTAACATGGTCATTCTTAAATTACTTACAGTCTAGCTCTTTTGCCTGATGAGATGCTTATTTAAATATGTTGTTGTTTAGTTGTTAAGTCGTGTCCGACTTTTCATGACCCCATGGACCAGAGCACGGCAGGCTCTCCTGTCTTCTATTGCCTCCTGGAATTTGATCAAAATCATGTTGGTAGCTTTGATGACACTGTCCATCCATCTTGACTTCTGTCGTCCCCTTCTCCTCTTTATATAAATATACTTGAAGTTTTTTCTAGCTCACCCTTGAGTCAGCTCTTTGGGGATTTAGCATTCTGGCATGGGGGACACAGCTTATTGTCCAGAGTTTAGGTTATACATCAAGACAATCAAATGCTGAGGGACATCCCTTTTCTTTTAGAATGATCCATAGCTTCTCATGATCCAAGCAGTCAAATGATTTGCTGTAGTAAGCACTGACTTACTACAAAAATATTTCTTCTGAAAGATCACCCACTATTGTCACATCCCACCATCATTGCTGCCCAGTAGCTGCCCTTCGGGAGTTTCTAAGTCCCCCATCACCATTAGAACGATCAGTTGGCTTCTCCTGACATGACTGTTAATTCTACAGAGGGTATTTGCATCTTGTCAGTCTGGTATCTCAGCTATGAGCATTCCACTTTGGGAGACCCTACTAGGAATCCTACAGGAGGGCCTGGCGTGCTCTGGTCCATGGGGTCACGAAGAGTCGGACACGACTTAACGACTAAAAACTAGGAATCCAGACTTATCCCAAATCTGGAAAATACGTATGCTTAATTAGAGGCAAAAGTGGGATGATCCTTCTTTCCAATTACTGATAACCACAGTGTCTGAAAAATGAATGTTTGCCTCTCTGGCTGCAGTTCAAGGTACTGCTGCACCCCATGGCATGTGGAAAGGATCTCTGAATACAGTTAGCATATGCTAAGGTATCAGTGGGAGATTAGGGCAAGTATGCAAGGGGTAGCATGCTAATAGGCTTTCTAAGGATAAACACACAGTGCAGGGTGGACATTAAGACAGCAGGAAGAAGGAATCTCAAAGCAATGCCTTGCAATATGACATCCTTATGTAAAAGCATATTTCAAGGGCTCATGTTTAGAGGAAGCCAGCTGACAGCTTAGATGACAATCCTAAAGTATATATTTAAAACATTCCCATAATTTCAGACATTTAAACCTCTTACCTTCTATAACACACTCATCTGGGAGAGGAATTCTCCTTCCCATCTCCATCACATATGCTTTCACTTTAGAGAGATTTTCTTTTAAGTGAAAGTAAAGCTTGTCTTGATACTCCACAGGGTTCTTCATTGTCTTCGGGCTCCCTTCATTGCCTGTTTCTTTAACAGGTTCTGGCAGATTCTCTCGTTCTATACATTGGGCACTTGGGTGAGAAAGCAAAGATGGTTCCAGCTGTGACTCTTCCATGCCTGTACTGGAAGGCAATCTGTCAGCTTCTTGGCTCACATAGATATCTGTGAAAGAGATGCCGGCTGTAATGTCTCCATTCTCCACCTCTTGCCCATTGTCTGAAGGCATGCCCTTCATCCGAACAGCATGCAAAGCCAGACTTTTGGACCTGCAGAACAAACACAAGTATGGTTTGGAGAGAGGCAGCACAGACTATGAGATATTGGAGTGCAGGTGTGGAAAGGTGCAGATTCCTATCTGTGGGCCAGTTTATAGTGTCAGATGACCATGTGTATGTTTGTCCACCTATAAAATGGAGGTCTATCTATTCTTTATACAGAAAGAAGTGCACTGAACAGAGGAAGCGTTGTTTGTCCACCTATAAAATGGAGGTCTATTCTTTATACAGAAAGAGTGCACTGAACAGAGGAAGCAAAGCAGCCTTCCTCTCACCTTACCATGTTAGTATTAAGCAGGTATATCCCTGCCAACTTTACTTCTTATGTCAGAGCTGGGTAGAGGAAAAATTGCTTTAGGAGAACGGACTGCAGCAATATGAGGTGGCCTTAACGTTCAGACTACACTCTTCTCCCCTCTCTCTCTCTCTCTCTCTCTCTCTGTGTGTGTGTGTGTGTGTGTATTTAACACAGATACTGTTGCTGTTCTTGTCTCGTTTGGGCCTTAGTTACAGCCACAAAGTGGCTCTGCATACTGCAGGATCCCTCACCATTTAAAGGGTAAAGGAAAATGAAAGGGGGACAGTGGTGAAAACATCTGCAGGGATATGGTATGGGAGGAAGGAAGTGAGATGAAAAGTGCTTTAAAACGGGATCAAAGCTAGATACAGCAAAGTTGTAGCTGTTTATTTTAGCACACCGTTTTCTTAATCAATTTAAGCCCATTGTGAACCTTAGAGCCAGTTTTAAACGAGAGCATTTCAATTACTCAGTAGGAATGTAGGAAATGACTTAAAAATGACATGATTTGAGTCAGGTAAATTAAGACACTACATATGGTGGGGTTTTTTGACAAATGTAGAGGGCTCTATATCTAGAAGCTAGATTAGAAGGTATTTTATGACATCTAAATTTGTTTTAACATTTTTTGGCACCTGAAAAATATAGAACATTAATTAATTAATTAATTAATGATGCCACCTTATTAGCGCAACAGCACTATTCTGGGTGGTTTAACAACAAGTCAAAACATATGTCATACAAACAATAAATGGCAAGTTAAAAACACAAGTAGAATAATAGGGGAGTGGGGGTATACAAATTTTGCTCAGTTTAGAAATAATGACAGCCATGATTGCTTCATGAGAACAAGCAGCATCAAGCTACAGGCTTGTGAAATGATGTCTCCCATTCCCCTTTCTTTCACGAATGAACACAGGAGATTAGACGCTTCTAATTCAAAATTAGGAGCAATTTGTCGTTTGACATTCAATCCAGCTGAAGCAAACTATGGCTTAAAACAGTTCACAGTTCATCTGTAAACCAGGAGCAAATGATGGTTTGGACTCTGTGCAAACTGGCTACAATTTGCCATACTTAGATAAACCAGAAAGCTACTTTTCCTGCTAGGCGGAGGTCGGACTGATCCTAATCTCCACCTATGGCAGTGAAAGAAGGGAAAGGGAAGGACAGCGTGTGTATGCTCAGGATGCACTACTCCTCTTCCCTAATTCTGCTAACCAGCCATTCACAACATTTTTGGGCCACGGCTGTGAACACAGTATGAAAGAAACATAAGCCGAATCAGGATTGTATAACTCATAATGAACCTTATAAGGTGGTGTATTGTTTCCAGTTTTTGGTCCCCTTAAAATGTGTCAGGGACCCCCAGGGGGGGCACATGGCCTGCATTGACAGTAGTTGCTCCAAACCTTAGTTTGGACTGGGGTCATCTCAATGTGGCTGCTATTTCCGGATAGCTCAATGGATTAGGCATGTGGCCTTGGAGCCAGAAGATGGGAGTTCTGTTCCCCATTGTGCCTCCTTGACAGGAGCTGGACTCAATTATCTCACAGTATTTAATTCATAATCTCAATACAGTCAAATGATGATGAAATTAGGCTGCATCATATTGCACAGGAGAAGTGCCCATTCAAAAAGAGCCATACAAAGCATGAACTTTAGGATCAACTCCCCTGCAGAAGAAATTTTGAGACTCCACTGCAAAAGAAGTTCTGCAGGGGAGTCTAAATTTTTTAAAAAAAATAGTATGAAGCCACATCTGTTATAGCTGTTTTGGTCTTCCAGTGCAAGTGAACAGGAGGCTCCACAAATTTATTCTGATCTGAGACCCAAATTATAGAACCAAACTAGGATGTATTTAGAAAGCCTGATTTATCTTCCAAACTGAATGGGAAGTGCAAAACTCTATGATCAATTAATTGCTTGGTTGCTTTGCCTGTGCCTACAAAACTGGTTTTTAAAATTCCCTAATTGGAAAGAGTACTACTAAAGTTATATTTAGGAAAAAGAATTTTCACTTTTCATTTCTGCACAACCCCCACTGGAAACCTACCCAAATGTTTCTTTTCTACCTTCCTCTGCAGTCTGGAGTGTAAGACAGGTTAGACAAGCAGCTCAAACAGATCTTACCCGTCTCTTAAGAGTTACTGACAAGATATCTGGATATAATTAACTGCCCCATGCCCACAAGATATGTTAAGTTGGCTGCACACTTTAACATTTGGATAAATCTATGCAGAAAAGCATCAGCATGCAACACCACCAACATGCTTCACTGAAGCTTACCGGTTGAACCTCATGTCCTTCCTTTCTTCTTTAGAAACCTGGCCCAAGCTATACCTACGTACAGAGCCAGGAGTACTATTTTCTATGTTTATTTTTTCTTCAAAAGCTTGTATTTTAACTTGGAGCTTTTCTTCCTCTTCATTTTCACTCATAATGGATTTTAAATCATCCAGCTGTGAAGGAGATTCTGTTTCAGCAACATCCTCTACCCTAGAGGAGGAAAAAAACAAGGGGTTAACAGTAACACCGCCATATTTCACAGGTGGTGGGAATAAAAAACACATCTCCAAGGTCTCATATATATGCCAATGTTTGTTCCAAGTGCATCTATGCCCAAATACTTTCAAAAGATAATAATTCTCATTTACTCCATTAGTCCACATTTCTGACTCTTGCTGTAATTCTGGACTGTAGTAACCTACTGTTCATCCCACCTCACACAGTGCCTTCCCCATTTTCTTTCTCTCTAGCTTTCCAGGTGCAGAAGCTTGTTTCCTTGGGACCTCCCAACTATTTAACACAATCTGTTCTACAATATCCTGCCACCACAACCTCCCAGTGCTACCCTTGGCCTACGTGCAGCCCCCCCCCCCAATGTTGTTTTTGCATCTCTCATAAGACTCCCCCTCTCTTGCCTGAAAATTGTAACAACAACAACAATAACCAAGGTGGACAATGCAAAGTGTAAGTCACATGAATCAAAGCCAGTTGAAGTGGAAGATGCATGGTATAAGATCTGACATTCTGTGTCTGTGAATATAGGTGTCATAGCCTGCATCAGCATGAAGCAATGCTATAGCCAACTTCCACTGATGTTTGTAGACCTTCGTGTGGGTACAGCATGGCAGTATTTTCATGAAAAGTATTGAAAAGATCAGAACCAAAGCACTGAGAGTGACATCTGATGAAAGGATAGACTTTACTAGAAAGTCAGGGCAATTTTCAGCCACAGCCCGGGCATCGATCCATTACTATGATGAAAAATATAAAGCTGAACAGTTGATTGGGGTGCAGAAAGTTTCTTGCTCCAGATGTTTGAATGAACTCCCAGATGCCTTCAACCATAGCCAGTGGTGAGGGGTTGTGGGAGGCCCAAAACATCTGCAGGGCCAAATGTTCCCCTAGTCCTCCTTTCCTGTGCAAAACCGTATTAAACAAAACACATGTAAGGATCTTGAAACCAGCGTTAAGCAAACAGATATCTCTCACATGTTTAACTAAACAGTCCTTGAGCTACTCACAGCCGTGCAACCTGATAGAGTGATGATCCACCACCATCCCAGGAAGGATGTGGCTGTGTACAGGATTCTCCCTGTTTCATGAGAGAGAGAGAGAGAGAGAGAGAGAGAGAGAGAGAGAGACCAACCGTTCTGGGTTTCCAACCTAAAGATCTTTCAATGAGTCTGACTGACTGACACTTGTCACTCATCAACAGTATGCTGACATCATTGATTACAATTTCCTTATATTAACCCTATCCTGACATGTTGCAAGCCTTTAACAATTACTTTTGTTTAGCATACAACAGAACCTTGGTTCATGTGCTCGTAATCTCGAGATTAGACCACTGCAACGCGCTCGACGTGGGGCTACCTTTTAGGTTGAAGCAGAAACTCCAAGTGGTGCAGAATGCGGCGGCCAGACTCCTTAGCGGAACGATAAAATTTGACCATATTTCTCCTATTCTGGCCGTGCTGCACTGGCTGCCCATTCGTTTCCAC